AGAAAGTTTCAACTACGGAAATTTAAATATAGTCTCTCATTTTATCTAGAACAGTTGTCCTCAATCGTTTTGCCCCATGCATCCTTTTCAGTATGGCTAAAAGTTCATTTCCCTTTACTTCCAAAACTCGAACATTTTTCAACATGTTTTAATAACTAAATAGCAAAAATATAGAATTTGTTGATAAATACCAAAATTGGAACAAAAGTAGTTTTTTATACTTATAAACTAAAACTAAATACTAAAAATTCCCGCATGTGAATAATTTTCCCTCCCCTTTCTTGAGAATGCCTACCTAGAAATTCTCAATCAATTCATAGCGCAGTGAATGGAAACCCGAAAGAGAAGAGCATCTCTCCAAAGTTGGAAATGTAACTTAAGTATAAGAATCAACGAAATTTAAACTCTACTCTCGCATAAATAAAGTAGCACTGAACTTTTGAATCAGGCGAATTAGAAAGGATGATGGGAGAAAAAAAGAACAAAAACGTCGAAAAATAAAATTAGGATTAGGAAATTAAGATAGTTATTACAGCCTGAAATTTAAGAATAATCTAAATATAAAAATTGTTTTTCCCAAGAGAAAAGTTTGAGAGCAGGAATATTCGATACCACTATTTTGGGTGAAATCTAAAATTTTGCATTATTCTTGAAATTCCTACTGAAATGAAGGGAAGCTTTAGATTAGATTTTAAATGCCAAAGTTCACATTAAAGTAGTGAAATCGACCTTACTGAAACCTTCCATTTTAAAACATGACTTTATTAGTTTTTATTACCAGTAAATAATCGCTTCTAATTTTAAATTTAAACTGAAAAGAGAAAATAAAATCTCTTTGGAATAGTAGTGAGGGATTAATTAAAAAAAGGAAATAGCGATTGCAATGCGTTTCTAATTTCTTTCAGCGAAGAATATTACTAATCCACTTTTCCATACTTCATGCGATATTTTTCTTAAATCGATGAAATAATAAAGAAAGAAAAAGTTTTAATTCCCACAAAGGAGTAATTATTTTGGGTTTAAGTTGTTTTCCGAGAAATATTTAATTTGTTTCACGAAAACATGACTACTTTGAAATGAGATTTTCCTCTGACGATAAAAGGAATAACTTTTTTACGCTTAATTAATCATCAAGTTATTTTAAAGTATATGTCTCATTAAATATACTTACCAACTGAAATAAGGTTTTCCAGCGAAGGTTTAAATATACAGTAGCCACAGCAAGAGATGGAAACCGCGTAGCATGCCGAGCTTTCCATTAAATGCCCAAAAGCAAACCACACCATTGGGCAAAATAGTAGTATAATTTTCTTTCTTTCATCTAGAAGACATCGTTAGTTTTTTTCTTCGTTGAGCCAAAACGTTACAGAATGTTATTATATCACAAATTTGACTTTTGAATAGGATAATTTTACGTGGGAATCTACGTCTTTTCTGTAACAAATTGAGTAACGTTTAATGAACGTATGCATATAAAGACAGAACAAGGTAATGTTTTCTGATAAAATGAGCCCGTATATTATTAAAGACTAATGTAAATAAAAGGATAACACATATATAAATCTTTCAAAATTTATTTCATTAACGCTTTGTCTCAATGATTGAAGAAATATTCCTAGAAATATTTCGAAATTTTTATATTTCAAAGCATTTTAGCTGCCAGCATGCTCATCTATTATAATTTTGTCACTTTATTCCTGAAAATGCTGCTTGTTGTCCATCAAGTTCCAGAGGAACAGTTCACAACCTGTAGAATTCTGATAATCATAAATGTTAGAAAATGCAAAAGACAAAAAAGCTGTCTGAAGCCTTATTTTTGGTTTTAGTGATCTCCTTGGAAAATTACGTATACGTCATTGACTAATGTTTTTTTATTCGGGATCCAATAAGGGTTCTACTTGATCTTTCTTGGCGGTAGTTTGATCTTTCTTGGCGGTAGTTTCTTGGAGAAGAAAGTGTGGACACATGGACACATTTGAAAACAAGATCTGAAGCTTTGATAAATTACTTCGCTAACTTCTGACCTGCTAAAATTGCTTTTCTTAACTTCTTTTGAAACGTAATGAAATTACATATAGAAACAAAACTTTTCGGGCTCTGTTTCCTAATTTAATAGTTTTTAAAACATTTAAATTATTATACTTATATATTCTAAACTTTTACGATGTATGTCATTTTTATTGCGTAAAATATAGAAAGTAGGATTAATTTTATTGTATTTATGGAAGCTATCCTCTTTTATGTTTATCGATAGCAATACATTTTTAATTATTATGATTCATGTACTGATTTATCTGTGACTTCTTTCCCTCATCATTCTGCATCATAATTAAGATGAAAATTATTCACGTCCTAAGAGTGAAGGTGTTGAAATTAATAGCATATCTTAAGAAGATTCCCATTATTAAATAGCTTAGAACCTAATTAAATTAATCAAAATATTTGTTATTTTTCAATACTTATTTTAATTTTTTTGTTTATTTATTTTTTCAGTTTTCCAGTTTTTTAATCTTACTTAAGTTCAAGGAAATATGTTATATCAAAAACGAGCATTATGATTGATCATTTTTTCAGTATTTAAATGAAATAATATTACAGTCACTAATTAACTTGATATCAATATTTACCTGCTTGTAGTGCAACTCGTTATTCAAGTTCGAAAAAAAAAGAAAGATATTTTAACTATTTAATTAAAAAATTAGAATTATTATTACGGGAAAAATTAATTTTATTATTAATTAATTTAAACTGTAGTATAGCTGTTCGTGGAAGACAAGGCAATGCTCAAATTTAGATATTCAACTGATAACTTCTTGGAAGATTTTATTAGTAATGAATGCTTTTTTTTCTAAAAATAATTGCTACAATGTTTTAATTGCTATGAGAAAGATAAAAGATCACTCTTGGACATACTGGACCCATTCTTTTGTTAGAGAAAATCCGAACGTTGCATAAGGGTTCAATTTTAAATATACAAATATTAGAATACTTTCAATGAAATAAATGTAATCTTTCCTGAATCTTGCATATTCCAAATTATTTTTTACCTACTTTCTTTATTTAAATCATCAAGCTTTATGTAAATTGATGTTTTACTTAAAGTTAATTTGCAAACCCTTATAAACATTTTCAAGGGCTGTACATAGAATACATAGAAAACACAGAAGTACACATAATTTTAAAGTCATGACAAGTTTTTCATTCCTGTTAAAAAATATTAACACCTATTAGAAAAAATATATAATTAATTGAAGTTTTTAGAAACCTAAATTAGATGTAAACACATTACAATTAAAAATACATTCAGAGTTTTATAGGTATCTTAAGAAAAAAAAATTTCCCATTTAATTTTATGCATTTTCACAGACAGCTCAAACCGCTTTGTCTTGTCCCTCTTTGGCAGTATGTATTGGTGTTTTTGTAGTCCTAAAGATAGAGGTAACGTGCTTTAAGTTTTATAAAAACTTAATGTTTTATAAAAATTCTGTTCATAACGTTTCTTAGCAAATACTTTTGCTGAGAATATTTTTTACATTGATAAATTTGCCAAAGATGTACCAGTAGGAGCTTTTCATATGATTACATTCTTGACATCTCTTTCTAGCAAAAATACTACTGTACATCTTTCGGAAGTTATTCATAATGAGCTAAATTTGTAGAATGGTGTTGTGTTGAAAATGAAAAGTATTTCTTACTCAATTGCCGAGATCACGCCTTTCTTTTGACTCGAAATAATAAATGTCAGTTATACTATACAAATAAGATATTGCAGAAGAAGAAGGTACAGAAAACCTTTCTTGTAATAATTTAAAAAAATGAGAGAGGAGAAACATTTCTTTTCAATGATCATTTCAAATGATCAATCATAAGAAGAAGGTACAGATAACCTTTCTTGTAATAATTTAAAAAAATGAGAAAGGAGAAACATTTCTTTTCTTCTATTCTTTTAACATAAGCTGTTGGAAAATAATCCTTACTGCCTAAAAGAAAAACTGTGTAAACTATAGTAAAAATGTAAATATTAAGCACATATTATAAAATAAATGTTTGAAAAAATGTTTCGTTATCTATAAAAATTTTTGTTTTGTTTTATTATTCCAGTTTGTTCCTTGAGTTCCTTCCTTGATATGTTCCTTGAAGTTTACTATGAGATTAAGTCACCGAACTGCTTCAAAAGCAATAATTTAAAATTGAATTATGGGTTTTAAAAACATAAACTGAATCATATTTTTAAAATGCTTCTTAAGTTTTATTTTAAATAACCAAATTACCTTATTATTTTGGCGTTTCTATAACATTTGATTTCGTTAACTTCCAACAGAGTGCAAGTTGTTTTAATGTATAAATAAACTTCTGGACTTCTAACAAAGTTTCTTAGAGAGCATTTGGAAGCATAGTTTGGCCATTACACAACTTTAGATTTCCTGTTACTGCACAAAGACAACTTTAGATTTCCTGTTACTGCATTTTAACTTCTTTAAGTTTCTTTTAGTCACGTCTTCTTCGCGAGTACTTGATTAGGGGTGAGGTAAGCTTTAGATTAAGATTTTAAAATTATACCTTGTGTTTGATTTAATTTGAACTATTGTTTTGATTCCCGACAGCTAGTGAAATTTTTGTTTCTGTTAAAATTTTTATTTGTGTAGCCGTTTGGTCGACGTGTTACTAAATATCTTATAGAGTTTGCTGTTCTTTGGTAGCCTAAACAAAGACAGATTTGGAGCGAATTATCGCTTCGTCTGAAAACAGCTACAAAGTTTTGAGAAGGTTTAAAAAACCTTTTTATTAAATCAGCACTGGAACATAAATGCACGTCTCGTGTTAAGCAAATCGGCCAACTACTTGTAGCGATGTGTCATAAAGTAGGACAGGACAGGACTAAGTGTGGGAAGCACCACACATCGCCACTGGCAGAACTGGTGTCACTCCTTCACACTAACCGTCTTGAGAAGAACACCTCCACAGGGTCTTATGCTATCGGTGTTAATGAAACGTTATCATTAAGGCATAGAGAACTGTGGGCCGAAAGATACAGTTACTGATGATGACAATGACATTACAATACCATACATTACAGTTGATGGTGAAAATAAACTATAAATTAGAACATATCATAATAAATATTAATAAATTTATATTAGTGATATTAATGGTATGTTTGTGTAAGAGTTCATAGATGGTTCACAGTTCATTAACAGTTCATGAAAAGTTTATGGATTGAGTCAGAGTTCATACATACAGTAGAGTTCACCAGTTCCACTTATGCACATGTCATTTTTGATGTGTCTTAAAGTAATAGTCTTTCGAAATTTAAAACTAACTATAGCAGCCGAAGGCTACACAATTGATTTAACGCGGAGTTGACTCAAGTTTCTCATCGGCGTAACAATTTAAATGACGGCAACCATATTAAAAATCCAAAGAATCGAACTGACTAATACAGAATGACTAAATTTAGCATTCTCGCAGAGGCAGGAAATGAAGTGCAGTATCTTTTTCAGCAGAAAATTTCTCCAAACTAAATGCATTTACTATGAAAATTTAGGAGAAGTGGCAGTATTATCAGCAGATAAAAAGTAACCGTACATATAGAGTACAAAAACATCGGTTGCGAATACAAAACAAATAAAATGTCTTCATGTGGCTTATACAGTTAATTGACTAAAAAGTAAAAAATATTTTAAACTAAAATATTCAAATTAATTTTAATACTTATTTTTGCCTTCTTTATTTTAGAAATAACAGTTGTCTGAAAATTGCATATAGGCAGCAAGAATGAAAACCTTTATTAAGATCGGGCACTTATCGATAAGTTTTAACGGATTCTCAGATCAGATTGAACAATATGGATCTTCAAAAGAAATAATTTTTGGTAGGTTTCTTTATTATATAATTCGAACGTTGATCTGTCAGAATCAGCTATACTCGAATAACTTCGTAACGGTCGAACGTAGATGGACGTCATGCATGTATTATGGTTAGTTATAGATCGAGTATATAATTCATTATATACGGTTAGTTACAGTAGTTTTAACATGGAAGAGATTTGTTGTAAGATTTATTTTTATTTTTATGTTTTCTTGTAGTTTATTTATAGATTATGACACATTAAAATAACAGAGGTACTTTCAAAAGGCTTTTCATGTATCTTATACGAATGTACGCACTCCAAAATCACTTGTGATTTGAGCTAACTCTCTTCCATTCCCATTATCGTTAGATTTAATAAGGACCTAATGGTTTGCATATTTTGTACAAGATGAAGTAAACTCCGGATCGAAACACGCGGTATGATATTGATTTTGCTGCTGGAAATTTTTACCCGATTGTCGTCCATTTATTGATCCCATACAGACTCTATGAATCCCATATTCCAATCTTGCAGAAAGTCTTTTCCAATTAATTTCTCGAGAAAGTCGATCTCTTCTCGCCACCGGTTGGAGACGATTACCGATAAATTCTTGACCATGGAAGCGGAACTGATTTGCTTCTGCACCAGTAACTGGAAAGTTGGGCTCATTTAAATACAAAAGAGTAACAGACAAACTGTTAATTCTGGAAACAGAGATATATTTTTCTTTCTATTTGACTTTCGTGCATACGAATATAGATATATTATTACTCTTTTGGTATTTGACTGAAGCAGGAAATGCATAAGAAAATTAAACACTGTAGCGTCATACCATCTGGGTGAAAGGTTCCAGGCTAGAACAGGGAATGAGCATTATCTGTCTGGATATATATTAGATTTGAAAATATTGGAGAGTAAAATATACAAGAAATAGTCTCGACAATGTACTGGGTATGTTTAAGTTTTAATTTACTATGCTGCTAATGAAGTAGCTTGGAAAAATTATTATTTTAATTCTCTTTTCTTTTATAAATTTGACTTCGTTAATTCAAAGAATGATGCTTATAATGAGTTTCGAGTTGCTAAAACTAAAAAAAAAATATTCTATTTTAGTCGCTGACAAAATAAAATATGGAAGAATCTGAAAAGGCGCTTTTAAGTTTAAGTGGAGAAAATTACTTGTTTCAAATGACAGAATTAACCTGTCCTTTGTTTTTAAAATTAAATATAGTAAGATGTGTACTTTAAAATTTTGTACGACATTATTTTAAAGCAGAAATATTAAATTTTTAAGGCATATTTTATATTTTACATGTATGACTTACGTAGATGATAATCTATCTTGATTATGATTCCTGTCTTCATTATGATTACTTCTATTATGCTTTACGGGCATTCTAAAATTATGCTTATTTTGTTAAATGTATCTAACCACAGTAAATTATCAAAATCAAAAAGGAAACGTGGACTGGAGAAAATATAGTTCTTAAAAATTTATTTAAGCTTTCTGGTGTACTTTTTATATTTATTTTGTAAACCGTTTATACATAGATATTTGATATCTATGTATAAAATATTATAGATCATACGTATGTGATACATGTTCATAATTTTGCGTCACTGATGTTTTACAATGAATAACTCTACAAAATAAAAACATTCTTTATGGATTTGAGGAATATTTTTATTTTAATTTCAATAACATATTTGCATTTTCATTTAAAGTAAAGCTTTAAAAAATCTCGCGTTAAATGAACGTCATTTACCCAGAGCATTTAAGTTAGATAATTTCCAACTTATAAATATTAATTTCAGTTTGGTTGACTTTAGCCTTGAAGTTACTTAAAGTCTGAGAAATTTATAGTACATTCATTCTTAACGAAGTATGTCTCAGAATATAAACTCATACGTAACGAAAATAAGTTTAAGCTATAAAATGTTTTTATATTCTAACTTTTTAGATGTTACATCCATTCTAAGCACTTTCTGAATTGATAGTAATTATTTTTATGAATCGTTAACTCTGAAGCTAATTTCCCAACCTTTATGTAAAACTAAATAAATGCAAAAAAGAGTAATTTTTCAACAACAGAAATTACTCTCGGAATTAATTTATCTGGCGAGACTTCTATTGCTAAATGTTGCTATACTGTAAGTTGAAATTATAAGGAAATTACTTAATTATTAAGTACAAGATTGATGAACATTTTATTAAGAATTCTCATAATTTAGTCAGTCTTTATTTAATCCGGTTAATCATAGCGTCTAATTAATGTGTGAGCTACAGGCCAAAGAAAATGAAGGTTGAAATACATTTACGATTCCAAGTTGCCCCATTGATACAAAAAGATAACAATAAAGATGCTACTTTCAACTTTCAACCAAGACTCATAATAAGCAAACTATCGTCATCGATTGGAGTTTATTTAACGATACTCAGTGTAATTAACGACACTTAGTCTTAAGAATCCTTACTCAAAACTTCGGACTTCCCTACTTTCCAAATTACACTAAAATTCGTTTCAGTTACCCTACATAGACACATTGCAAGGAAGAAGATAATTCCTTAGATTCTTTCCCATTTGAAACTTCTACTGGTAGAAAGGCACCTAATCACCAAATTCAGGTGGTGAAGGATTATTATCCTTCACATTAAATTCAGATGCCTCTTGTAGAGTCATTTTTAGCATATTTTGGAAGCCAGGAAGCCAGAGAAATGATTACTTTTCCCGAGATACAAACTGCGAACCTCATAACTGAAAGCCAGACATGCCTTTCGGTTGCGCCACGAAAGCACACAGTAAGGAAGAAAAATTACTTTACCAAAAAAATAAACAAAATAAATCCAAAAATTAGGTTGAAAACAGTTGTCATTTTCAAGTTAACTGTTCCGATTTTGAAGACGTAGCATCAGAAAATGAATCTGTGCTCTTAAAAATTTTAAAAAAGTTTGTACAATTCTTCAAGAAGGAAGAGAAAAATTTAAAGTTCGATATTCATTTAAAAATCCATGCTTCTTTAAAATGGTACGAGAAGGACTTTATTACATTAAATCATGATTATCCGGTTTTAAATCTATTTATATAGTAGTAAAACTAAAGATTTCTTAAATCTGAAATCCATGATTCTGGAAAAATATCATGGAGATATCAAATTGTAAGCAATTAACAATCCCCCCTGCGAGATGTAGTAGGTTATCACGTCAGTTAGCAGTTCGGAAATTTACGATTCAAATGTGGTCAAAGTAATAACTGATTTTGTCCATTTCTTGTTTCGTAAATCCTGATAATTTCTATAAGATTTCTGCGGATAAACTTTAAAGCTTCTACTATATAATAAAATAAGACTGCCCAAAATTTCAAATTTGTTTGCGTATAGAAATTTCAATAAGTCTTTAGATCATATATTTATTATTTAGATATTACGCTATAAGGCTATTGAAATAAAGAAAATGCGCTTAATCCAGAACACAATAACAATATAAGATTACAATAAGATTATAGTAAGTACATTTTCTAAAAGAGGCTTCAATACTTTTGAAATGTTTCACTGATGCAAGGAAATTAAATTGCGAGGAAACTTTCATTCATACTTCAGTGGCCTTAAAATTAGCATAGTTCGTAGATAAAAATAGAGGAAAATTCAGATCCTTATTTCTTTTAGTTAATATTTTATTTTTTAAAGACTTTTCTGTACTCTCTGTTTTTACCTGGAGCCTTTCCAGAATGCAAATTAATTTGAATTTAAATAACGGGAGTATTTGTAGCTAAGAAAAAGTACAGTGGAAAGCGTGCAGTGTAGTGAGTTAGCCTGAGATTGAAAAGCATCTCACTTACCTACCTGTTGAATTGATGAGCGAATTTTATATTTCTTAGAGAGCAGGATTTGAGTTCTCAATTGTAGAAGCGAGTTGAAAGGCGAAAGTCTGATTTTGAGGCTTATACCTTTAAATAACAGAGTTTCTGAAACTTTGAAAAAGGTAATGGATAGCATTTTTATTTAGTTATACAGCGTACAATTTTCAATGAATATCTGAATTTAATTTCATGCCTTTTATATGCTGTTTCAATTTAGTTAGGCTATTTAGTTTTGTGAAGACAATGATATATCAGAACAAGGAATGTTAACCAAATGAAAATTACATAGCTACTTAGGTTTAAAGATCACCATATATAATTTTAGGTATGCTAATTTATTTATGGAATATTTGAAAATTTTGTAAATCAGATATTATAAATCTACAAAGTTAAATACTATCCACCTTATAATTTTAATATACTGTTTCCTAAATTACGTAATTTATTTAAAATAAAAAATTTTGCGCGAAAACGTTTTCCAGTGAGAAAAAATAATAGTGATTATATTAAACAATTGCTATGTTTTGCTACTTTGAATAGGATGCAGAATAAGCAGACTGTAACTTCCATTTTTTTCTAGTTAACCTGAATAATATTTAATGCTTTGAACATGAATGCACTTACGGTTTAGCTAAAATTTATAAGTGTAAAATGAAGCTTTTGCAAGATAGTAACCAATCTTCAAAATTCCTTTAGCACGATGACATTTGTGCGCAGTCCCGGTAAAGCTTCTAGTGTTCCGTTACAAAAGACAAGAATAACGCAGGTTTATTACCGATTGTCGTGAACATTGTGAGTTTAAGAGAAAATAATGAGCGGTTTGTTAAAATTTAGATCAGATGAAAGATCTTTTAATATATAGCATTTTAATACTATTTAGCACAATGTAATAAGTTCATTTTACAGTACGCAACATCCTCAAAAATGATCGTTACAACGCAGTTCGATCATCCATCTTTTTGAGAACAACAATCTCTCTCGTTGCCATTCCGTAACAGAGAAACTTACCTCTCATGGAGTTCGATAGTGGCGCGACATTCTCCCCACCTTGAGTTTGGGGATACAAACTCAAAACAGTAACATAATGATAATACATACATACAATTTTGAGATAACAATAACGTACATAATAATAATAGAAATATTTCAAAATATTAGAATGCAAATTGAAATCAATATTTTAGAGTTCAAACACAGAAAGTTCAAAAGTTTGTTTAGAAGTTTATAAATCCAGTCTTTTAACTGGTTTTATTTTTCGTCCTGAGCGAGACACGCGAACAGTTTCATTAGAGTCAGTATTAAGCTCAGGATTTTCAGCTACCACTTCCGGAACCTTCTGAGGTTCCGATACGACTTGCTCGTAATTTGGGGTCAATTCCAAAGGGTACAGTCGTTGGATTGGTCTTAATATGTTTCCCTTTTCAGTTCGCAGTTTCACAAGTCTGATGATTCCATCTTTTCCTGGAAAGAGTTCCAGTACTCTCCCTAGCAGCCAATGGAGCCTTTTTTTATCATCTGTACCAATTAACACTATGTCACCTACATTTATTTTATCTTCTCTTTTGTTAACTGAAGAACGAAGGAAACCCAGATACTCCCTTTTAAACCTTCGTTTTAGATTTTCACGAACCTTTTGAATATGTCTCCATCTCAAAACAATATTAGTCTTTTCAATTTGATCCAAATCAGGAACATCATTTAATGGAATGTCCTGAAGAAACATTGAGGGGGTCAAGGTCTTCAGATCTTGTTCCTCGGATATGTAAGTTAACGGTCTGCTGTTCATGATAGATTCGCATTCACAGACGAGAGTCTGCAATTCCTCGTAAGACAAACAGGAGCGTCCAAGATTTTTTCTCAAAAGATCTTTCAAAATCCCAATCAAGCGTTCCCAGAAGCCTCCCCACCATGGAGAGGAGGGTGGGTTAAACTTCCAACGAATTTCGTTGACTCTAAATTCACTTTCAATTGTAGTCCAATCTAATTGTTTCAGAGCATTATTTAGTCCTGTAAAATTAGTACCATTGTCTGAATACATCACAGAAATTCGTCCTCTTCTGGCTATAAACCTACGCATAGCTTGGATGAAGTCATTGGTACTCAGTGAAGGTATTAGCTCAAGATGGACAGCTCTAAATACGGCGCAAGTAAAAAGTACTATCCACACCTTTTGTTTAGATTTAGTCAACAGAGGTCCAGCTATATCTACACCTGATACTTGAAAAACTGCTGCTACTTCTGTTCGGTCTTTTGGAAGAGGCGGAAAAGGTACCTCAAGATGTTTTACCTTTTGCCTTTTACATGTTAAGCATTCTTTGATAACACTCCGGACAGTTCTTTTCCCTTTCACTATCCAAAATCTTTCCCGTAAAATAGTCAGTAGAGTTAATGTCCCAGCATGCTTGTTAGCAATATGTTCTTGGGCTATAAATCTTCTCACTGCCAGGTGTTTCGATGGTAGAATTATTGGAGAAATAAAATCTTTCGATTCTTCCTCATTTATCAATCTGGACTTCAATCGTAAAATTCCTTCTTCATCTTCAAATATTAGAAGACCTTTCAAATTTTTTTCGTGTTTCTTCATTGGAGTAACATTCCTTTTGTATTACACGGAAAATAGTCCTTTGTGCATTTAACAATTCTTCATTTTGAAGTTCCTTACATTTTCTTAAGTCCTTGGCCTTTGGTTGAAAACGCAGTATCCAAGCCATAACCCTAATCATCTTTGAAAATCTAGAGAATCTTCTGGCTAACTGTAATGGAATTGACTCTAGCTCTGTGTTACTAGCAGAGATGACTGACTTTCGTTTCTCTATCTCTACTTCTTTTTCGTTAATATTTACAGCTGACTTTGGCCACTGCTCCTTCGGATTCTTCAACCAGGCTGGCCCTTGCCACCACTTGCGTTTCTGAAGTTGCCTAGGTCCACAACCTCTTGACAAAATGTCTGCTGGATTCTGGTCAGTTGAAATATGGAACCAATCTTCCGAAATTGTCAATTTTCTAATTTCACTTATTCTGTTTGTAACGAATACCGACCACTGTTCTCGACGAGTTATCCACACAAGAACTGTGGAAGAATCTGTCCAAAAGTAAGTCTTGATGTTGGGAAGTTTTAGAGCTTGCTTCACAGAACTAAACAGCCTAGCACCTATGGTAGCAGCCATTAGTTCAAGTCGTGGTATAGTAATAGTCTTCGTTGGAGTTATTCGTGATTTGGCTTGAAGTAATTGAACAGTCACTGAACCCATACTGGATTCACTTCTTAAGAAAATGCATGCCGCATAAGCTGTCTTGCTGGCATCGACAAAAGTATGGATACTTAAATTGGATTCCTTCATCACACCTAACCATCTTGGAATTTTTATATTTTTGAGGTATTTCAGTTGTTTCCCCATTTTAAAAAATTCTTCTTTATTTCATCATTCACT